AATAATAAATGCTAGTGATCCTTACACTTGGTTAAGTTTTGTTCTTATTCATCGATGAGTTGAGGTGCAGTGGTTGAGACTGCTTTATCCTTAATTGGAGGTCTCAGTTTCGAGCTCTGAACATGAAAAAAATATTGTTGGGAGCGGCATCCCAAATGGGCCTTTCAATGAACATCCAAATTTAATAAGAGTTTCAATATGGTCTCCAAAACCGAGTAGAAAATAAAAAAAAGTCTTGTTCTTAGTCCATTTAATTAATAAAGCATTTCATTACTTTCTCAGATCTTCATATTTAAATTCAATTTACATACACAAATGATTGTTTATCCTTAAAATAATAACGTTAAATAATCGCATCGACCATGTAGTTATTTTTATGGGCATGTTTTCTTGCCATCGAAAATAATCGCTTTCATCATTTTCTTAAGATAACAAAACAAATAAACAAATAATTATTCAAATATTTTAAAGTGAATAGCTTGATTTTTTTAACTTTTAAGTAAACACAACTTCAAAATTTATAATCGAGATTTCTTGAAGTCCTCAATTTCATTTTATAATATTCTTCGCATTTATATATATATCAGTTCAATTGAGTATATAGACCTTACGGATTGTTAAGATATGACTATCAATTTGCAAAGATCAAAACATTATATCAGGAAAAGAAGATAACAGATGAATGCGAGAATGTGAAGTGAATAACAACACATATTTATTATTGAAAAAATCATTTACTTTGTATTAAACTAGACATGATAAAACATTTATAATTTAGATGTGACAACCTTTAAAAACGTTAGTTTGAAGGGTACAAATGACAAATTTCTTAACAACGGGAGGTATGAATGACCCCATAGTATAATGAAGGGTAAACTAGCTATTAAACGAAAGTTGAAGAGTATTTTTGATCTATTTCCCTAAAATTATATCTTAATTTTCTAAAAGAACAATTATTTTAAATCATCTATTTTAATAAGTACGACAAATAAAATACAAGTGACACAACGTATCATGTTTGAGTAATTTACTTCCAAGTGATTTTTCCTTTTTGTTTGTTTGTTTTTTCTGTTTGGTGATCATTATTTTTCCTATTGACAAGTCCTTATCTTAGAATTTGAAAATCTCAATTCACAATCAAATTAAAGATTTTCAAATTCAAACTAGTACCCAAATCCTAAAAACCCTAATTCATTAACTATCAAACATAATCAATCATTCAATAAAACACAAATCCAATAAACTAATTAACAAAATCAAATATAACTAAAATTGAAAAAAATTAAAACTAATTTGATAAAACCCTAACCTTAAATTAAAGGAGAAACAGACAATGGAGAGAGAAAGCAGCGGCGATGTCGGTGGTTCCGGCAGCGGCGATGACAGCAACGACGATAGCTATGGCAGTGGCAAGCAGCGGCAGTGGCGGCACAATCATTAGAGAGAAGGAAGAGAGGGAAAATGGGGAAAAATCGCGTTTGATATTTCAGATATTTAATGAAAAGCGACGGACATCGTCTCCCCATCCGTCGCTTTTCATTTAAAAAGTTGACCAACATTTTGACCAAAAAGTGACGGATTAAGAGACGTTGTCCATCGCTTTTTAAAAATAGTTGACCATATATTTTGACCAAGAAGCGACAGACATAAAGATGTCGTCCGTCGCTATAATAAAAAAATAATTAATTAAATAAAATAATTAAAAGTGACGGACAGCGTCGTTAATATTTTAATTTATATATAATTATTTTTAATAAAAGCGACGGACGACGTCGCTATATATATTGAATAAATAATTATTAATTATATATATATTTGGCGTAAAAATTCGCGAAAAAAGCGACGGATTAAGAGATGCCGTCCGTCGCTTTTTGTAAAATAATTAAAAATAATTATGTGTTAAAATTTTTATAGAAAAATTAAAGTATAATTTTTTTTAAAATAAATTATTTTATCCACTTGAACATCTTTTGTACTTTGTTAAAAATAAGAATTAACAGTGAAAAGTGTTGAACAAAGTGAATTACAAATTCTTTTTTATTTCTTTTTAAATTTTAGTTTCAAGCATTACTCTAAGCATATTAAAATGAGGTATACCAAATCATCAACTTTTTGAGTCAAATTCTATGATTCTAAACTTCTAACTCTTATCTTTATTTAATATTTATCAACTTATTACTTATATCATTATGTTAACAATACATATAATAATTGTCTCACTTAAAGGATGTTTTTCAATGTTGAGTTGATAAAATCTTACCTAAAACTAGTAACTCAAACAACAATATTTTAAGTACTAATAATTTTCATCTTAATAGTGTATTTTTTTTTTTTTTGAATACATACGTATATGAAGTGTATTTATATTTTAGGCCGCAAATTAAAATTTCGCTTTAGGCCCCCAATTACGTTGAGCCGCCCCTGAGCCTTAGTTGTGAAGTACGCACTTCACTTGAATTTTTACTGTCGTCTTCTATTGTCTTTCATAAAAGCATTGTATTCTCGTGAGTATACAATCGAAAAAGAAAAGAGAAAGAAAGATATGAGTGTAGGTTATACAAGTAGAGGTTGTGTCAAAGTAGAAGATTTGATTTGCATATCAAACATGGCTCTTAGTCGTAACACTTTGTAACACCCAAGTTCTTAAGGAAACCCTTGTAACCCAAGGGGACTGGAAGTAGGCACCACATCGATGTTTCGAATCAGTATAAAAACTCTCTGAATCTTTTACTTACTGCATTTACTCTTACCTTAATCTATAGGTGAATCGATTTTCCTACACAGATAGTCGACTGAAGGAATTTTTAATTCACTCCTCTCTTGACTTTCAATTGGTATCAGAGCATGTCTCACTAGTGAGATTTCTGTAAGTCACCCTTAAATAAATAGTTTTAGCCCATGAGCCGACCCCGACCGACCCCGATCAAGCCTCAAGGGCTAAGGGCTTATATGAGCCGAGCTTATAAGCCCTAGTTTTAAATGGACTTGAAAAAATCATATCTCAATAACGGATTGGGTTGGGCCAGTCCCATGGGCTAAGTCCAATTTGACGGCTATATATATATATATATATATATATATATATAAAGAGAGAGATAAATAAAAAATGTCACATGGGCAGCACCATAAAAAATCAAATTTTATCAGATTTTAAAAATTAAAATTTAAAATTTAAAAAATTTTGAATCTTAATTTCCCTTTAAAATTTTAAAGCTTTTTGAAATCAAAATTTGCAGTTACTTTAGTTGTTTTACTGTTTTTTTAAAAAGTTTATTTTAATTATTACAATTTCTTATTAATTCAAATCCTGAGTGTTTTAAAATTACATTGATGCTTATCTATCTAATTAGTTATTTTTTCCTTTATTTCTTTTACCACTTTTTAAAAAATCCAAATTTTGGTAGCTATTTTAATTATTTTTTTACATTTTTTTTATAGTTACTTAATTATTTACAGTTCTTATTTTTAAAAAACAATAATCATATTCTTATAATTTTTCATTATAATGATGAGTATCTATTTAATCTAATTTTTAATACATGAAAAGTTAAATTAACACCATTGTGGAAAATTGTTAAAAAAAATAATACATGATGCATATTTAATCCTATTTTTCATTTATTTTTGTATTTTCATTATTTATCTTTATAAGAAAAACAAATTAAAAAACTAATAGAGAAAAATGTAACAAATTTAAAAACTAATAGAGAAAAATGTAACAAATTAATAAACATAGAGAAAAATGTAACAAAACTACGCTGATTCCCCCCACAACTTCACGTCCTGCACAAAATCACCTACGGCCCTTTTCGTGCATCGCATGGATATTTTAATTTATGATTATTTTAATTTTATAAAATACAAAAATAGTTTAAATATTTTTACATATTTGTCCGTTTGTTGTGTAAGTAAAAAAAATCATGCTAACAATTTAATTTATTAATTCTAACTTTCCGCATGAAATGTTAAATGTCATAGTTTCACATGTTGGTACATTTTACCTATGTTTTTTTCAAATCCAAAAGGTTCAAAATATTCTTTGCCGTCTTAAATTCTTGTAAGATATATAATTGAAAATATATTTAAAAAAGAATGAACATAAATAATTTAATAATAATACAAACATGTATATAAAATTAATATATACATTTTGCTATATATTAATCATTGAAATTAATTAAATACAAATAGTGAATCAATTATTTGTTATATTATTTTTTTATATTATTAATTCAAACTTTTAATTTTTTATAGAAGAAATAATAATTTATACCTATATCGATGATTAGATGTGGAGGAACTTTTTCTAATTATCTAATATACTGTAATAATTAATGGGTAATTTTTTTTTCATGAATATTATTTCATAGGTCAAACAAAATATGCAGACCCTTAAACTTGTCTCTAAATTTCATTTTGGCACTCCAACTCAACCTTGTTTCATTTTAACCCTTCAACTCATATTTTTATGTTTCATTTAGACACTTCTTTCCAAGAAATCAACTTGTCCCTTAAAATTTTCTCTCTCTTGTTTTAGAACAATTGTTGGATGAAAAGGTATTTTCGGTCAATTTAGATAATTGAAGGGAATTTTTATCCCAGAAAAATATAATGAAAAGGGTTTTTTTTAATCAAAAATTTCAATGAGATAAACTAACCTATTTTAAATAACTCAGAGGTATTTTTACTTCCTTAACAAGTTAATATGCGTTTTTATTTGCTTCCGATTTTGTACAACTCCCAAGTTCTAATTAATCGATTACTACTTGTCTTGCCTATCTTTAAAGAAGTTGATTTGACATTAACATTTAAAATAAAAAGATTATGTCGATATGATTCCCAAGAGAATTGTAAATCGATCGGAAAACTTCATAATAGGTACAACTTCTAAAAAATCATATGTAAATTGTAAAAGGTTCATCATATAAAATAAGGATATATAGAAATACTAAATGGGCATTCAATGTATTCATATAGTCAATAACAATACATTTTTTCTTTTCAACTTTTACCGAAAGTGCTTGACATTTTGGATACAATAACAACATTCCCAGTAAAATCCCGCGTTATAATAATTCCCATCACATATTCGCAAACAGACGATATGTCTTGGCGTCAAGCACCATTTGCCGCACAGATGCTACAGCCCCAATTAAAGACAACACCGTTGAGACAAGAGCAATTATGGTATTTCCCCAGAAAATTATGCTCTTTCTTGAAGGTTTGAAAGTGACATTATAGAAGACCATAGGCAAAATAAAATCAAGAGGAATGCAACCAAATGCACCAAACAAAGCCATAATGTCTCCAAAAAAAGGTAGCATTGCAGCCAACGTTGTCGCAATGATCACCGATAGTGACCGGGAAATTAACCGGGGAACCACATTGCGGATTGAGAATTCGCCTTTTTTTGGATCTGAAAATCTCTTTTCTAATACTACATTTGTTGGTTGTAAGTAAGTCTGCCAAGATTTTGCGTATGTATAACATTAGCAACATATATAAGTTAATAAATATCGATGCTAATTATGAAAAAAAAAAAAGAAGTGAAAATAGCGTTACCAAGCTAACAGCTGATACTTGGACAAAGGTGAAGATATAAGTGATCATGAGAAACCATTTGGGCAGCAAAGGTATCCTATCTAACATGAAATTTTGGAGCACTGATGGTTGAGCTTGGTTTCCAAAAGCCCAATATCCAGAAATCGCAACACTGAAAAATGTCGATATCACTACACTGTAACACAATAATAGCCCCTTCAACATTTTCCCTGTTGTTGGAGGTGCTATTGTCGCCTGTCCACAAAAAATTAAGCTAAATACAATCAGATATCAGTCTGTTAAAATTAGGTTTTGGGCCTAACTTACATTCCAAAAGCTAGCTCAAAGGAAGAAGGATTGCCCAAGCCTTATAAGTGAACTCCCATCTCATTAACGACTTTTTGCTTTAACAGTCATACTTGATCTTTTCAATTGTATAAATATTTCGACGAAAAGAGGACAAAAACGAATACGTGTCGATTATGTTTGCTAACATACAAGAGAACAAACCTGTATTTCGGGAATGATTCCATTTCCGTAGGTAGTTGCGATGATAGAAATAGCATTAAAGATACCAAATATGCGATTAATACCAACTCCAGTAATTGAATAATCTCTTTCAGGTGCTTTATTAGAATGTCCTATATGTATACAAGAAATGAATTAATTAAGATTCATTTTAATTAATTATAGGTTTTTTTAAAATTAAGAGATGGAAATATATAATTACCAATGTGAATGGATCCTACAGTTGTGCAAGCACAATAAATAAGACAGAGAATCAAGGAGACAAGATTGATATTCCTTAGGGAATGGAAGGATGGCAATTGTGCCATCACTAGTGTTAGCCCTCCACACATAATGATAAATTGGTACAGCTGCATGCTTCCATTTGGTCTACTCAACAAATAAATGAACTGAAAGAAGAAGAAAAATACTCATGAAATACAACAACAATAACTTTGTGATCCCATTTTGCACAATAATAAACAATTAATGCTAAAATTCTTAGTGATATTGATTAATTGTCATTAGATCTAATATTATTATAGACTTGGAGACATTTACAAAAATAATAATTGTAACTAAAAGAACATATCTAACTGTAATTAAATTGTTATCATTTTTGACTTGGTGAGACTAACCTTGAGGCTTTGCCCACCAAGAAGAGTTGATGCAACGACTAAGCCATAACATAAGCCTAGTTGAAGTGGACCCACAAAATACCTGCCCCATCCTGGCCCTGTTACATTTGCTCAATTACTCTACTAGTACTAGTAGAGTACTAAATTAATGAAAAAAATACTCTCTCTGTCCCAATTTATATGACTTACTTCCCTTTTTAGTCAGTCCCAAAAAGAATGACACATTTTTATATTAAGTAACAATTTAACTATAAAGTGTCTATTTTACCCTTACTAAAATGATTTACAGCCACACAAATTTCTATCATTCATTTTGAACCACAAGTTTTAAAAGTTTTCCTTTATTTCTTAAACTCCGTGCCGAGTTAAAGTATCTCACATAAAATGGGACGGAAGGAGTAACTACTTTCTTTGTTTCAATGTATTTATGTGATTTTGATTTACTACAAAGTTTAAGAACTAAAGAAAATTTTTGAATCTTGTGATCTTAAATTTAAGATATCTAGAATGTATAAAAGTGTCATTTAATCTTAAACATGTCATGTGGCAGGTTAGCATTTTCTTCATTCCAAAATAGTTGTCACGTTTCACTGTTCGAGAGCCAATTAATTAACTTTCAAAACTAATATGATTAGATTACTTTGAAAAATAAAAGCTATGAATATTGGAACCTAAAATATCACGAGCCATATCTCTGAAACGAAGCTGGCGCTTGCCAAGCATAGCATGGTGCTCCAATACTAAAGACAAAAGATTATAGGAATAAAAGGTGACCAGCGCTGCCATGCTCAGGCATATCATTCCCCCTATCCATCCCAACAACGTGAAAGCAAACGGCAAACTCAGCAGCGTCGGCGCCACTATCGCCGTCGTCAAATGGTATCCACAGTGCAACCATGACCCTATACCAATTATACCATTCAGATTCATATATGATACACTAAAAAGAAATGAAACAATTATTGATCACCTCGGGATTTCAGGACGAAAAGGCTGCCGGCGTCAAGCTCTTTGGGACCATTTTCAGCATATTCTGGGATAGGAAGTACAACAGCCATATTTGTGAGAGTCAATATTCGTGGGTATCACCTTAATGGGTACTGTTTAACGACCTTAAAAGTGGGAAGTCAATTGTCTAGTGATAGATGACTTAATGGAAGTAGCTTTCAAGCATCCATTATTAATGAAAAAATATTCAACATCATGTAAGGAAAAAAATAGAGTCAAGCTACACAATTTGGACTAACTGCAAGTGTGACTGATTAGTGTAGATATAGAAACAAAAATATGTGATGTGTGTTAATTGAAAATGTTGAAAAATAGCTAGGCTAGTACTATATGATTTTGAAGAGTCAACTATGGAGGAAAACATATTTGAGATAACATATGAATTATCTATCCCTTACCCCCCTTGACCATCCCAACCCCCACCACCCCCAAATTAACCCCACCCCACTCTCTATCTCTATCTGTATTCATAACGTTTTGCAAGATAACATATAAATGCTCTTGAAATAATACTTTCTTGATCATTACTTATTAAACACTAAAAAATACTCACTCATTTTCCTAAGAAATTATTTTCCGTGAAAAACATTTTTCCACCTACCTACCACACCCTTAGAAGAATTGACTCGTTCTTCTTTTTCTCATCGTTTGTTTCGCAAAAACAAAAACAGAAGAAAAGAAGGAAAGATTGCAGGCTATTGTTTCATATAAGTATTATTTTAATTTGGCATAAGTTATATCTGGCCTTTAAAATTGTCCGTATAATTCACTTAGACACCTCAATTAGGAATTGTGCCTATTGAACAATTATATCCTCTCGAATTTGATCCACTTAGACACTTTATGCTAATGTGGCACAAAAAATGTAATGCACTCCTTGTTGAATGCGTGAAATTAATATATTTACATTTTCCTTTTCTTTTTTAATTTTTAATTTTTAATTTTTAAAAAGCAACAATCTCTTTCTCTTTATCTGCCACCATTTCTTCATAATAATACACCACCATTTATTTTTTCAACTTTCCTTCTTCCTTTTTTTGTTTTCATCATCATAGTTCTTTGTCGGAAAATGGAGATCATCATCTATGCCTTTTTTTGCCTGAAAAAAAATGGAGATCACCATCCACATCTTCTTTACCAGAGAAAATGATGACCATTATTTAAATATTTTCTCACTCTTCATCTCCCCCGACCCACGCCACTTCTTCCCCACCAATCGAATAGAAATGAAACTTTGTTTTCTGAAATCACAATAAACAAAGAAGAACAGATCTTTCAACAAAACACTATCAATTCAAATAAAAATGAAAAAGAAGCACAGACAGAGATAAAAATTATAAATTCATACTTCGTATATATATTAAAACGAGTTAATATCTTTGATGGTTATTCAACTATCAGCTTTTTTCATAGAAAATCACTTAATTTTGATTTTCAACTCAAAAGTCACTCAACTATGAGATCTTTGCATAGAAAGTATGCAGGGTTAAATAGGAATTAGATTGTGATTAAAATATTATTAGAAGGATGCAGGGTTGTACATGGAGAGTTTATTAAGAGAGAATCCATGGAAAAGCGCCGGATAATGCGAGTTCAGGTTCAGGCAATATCAAAAAGCTTTTCTCGAAATAGGTTTTTTTTATCTTTTCGCCTTCATACGACGACTCGCAGTAACAACATCATTTAAAGCTAACAATGCTTATGAACAATAACCAAAAAAAAAAAAAAATCGAAGACAAAAGAGAATAATTTAGTGTGATCAGAAATTGAGATATCCCTAACTAAAAGAAGGAAGAAGAGGCTCAAATTGAGATTTTTTTTACAAAAAAAAAGAAGAAAAGAAAAAATGCAAAGGAGAACAGAGAAAATAATTTTAGAAAATAAAGATAAATTAAGAGGGTCAATATTATATTTTTAGCGGGTTGGGTCAAGTGGAGCGGGTCATTAAATGATTTAAATGGATATATGTTTATTTCTTAAAATTTTAGTTAGAAATAAAAATTCCACATCAACAAATTTTAATGAGATAAACAATTAAATAGGTTGAGTGACTTTATATGCAAAGATCTCATAGTTGAGTGACTTTTGAGTTAAAGATCAAAGTTAAGTTTCTTTCTATGAAAATAGTTGATAGTTGAGTGACCATAAAAAATATTAACTCATATTAAAACTCCAATTTTCTTATTTTGAGATTAACAATGGTGGACAAGTGTTGGTGAAAGAGAAGAAAGGGAGAGGTGAGGTGAGGTGAGGTGAGCTGCAGTACGGGGGGGCGTAGGGTGTATAATTTCCTTTTCTTTTTTTTAGTTGTTCTTTTTTTTTTTAGATTCAGATATAAATTTGTTTATATTTAAAATTTATTCTTATAATTATTTTAAATTGAAATGTTACGTATTATTATTTGATTTGTCATTTTGCTACATCATATGTATATGTATTACATGCACTTTCTGTTTTGATTAAGTGTCAGAAAAATGTTTGATAGATATTTATTTTTTAAAATTGAAGTGTCTAATAGAAAAAAAGGACCATTAAAGTGTTTAAATAAAATATCTGAACAACTTTAAGAGGTCATCAATGACTAAAGCCCTTTTAATTTATGTTAGCATATATAATTTAAATATATAGTCTATATACTTGTGGTAATTTGATCAACTGATGCTATGTGCTTCCAATAAATCAAAGTAATACTTAAGAGTAATTGTTATTGGGTCTAGTCAACTGATATATTATAGTAGTATTATGTGGGACGTTTTCATTGAAGTAGGAAAATTAATTCCACTGAAGATAAATTTGCCCATATTGGATAGTATTGACTGAGCATTTGATCTTTCAATTCCATACTTCTACTTTGGGTGTACATTATCGGGTTAGTTTGAGTTTTTCAAATATCAAATCAAGTTATTTGTATCACATTTTAAAATTTATAAATCAAATCAAACTAATAAAACTCATATTTTTTCAGGGTTTTCAACCTCGGATTTTTTTTGGGTTGGTTCGAATTTTTCAAATATCAAATCAAATCATTATTTGTGTCGAATTTTTAAATTAAACCAAACTAATAAAGCTTGGGCTTTTTTGGATTTTTGAATTTTTCCGGTAAAGTATTCATACAAGCATATAATTAACTTGTGCTCCAAATATTTCTTTAGTCTAACCAAAATACAACTATCTAAGGTGTTTCTTAAGAAAATAACACATAATGTGAGATGTGATGACACTTAAATATTCAATAAAAAATAATAATGAAATCGTATAAAATAAATATTACAAATTAATAAGTCATAATAAAAATGACTACTCAAATAAGTATTAGTTACATTATTCAACATTAAAGGAAAACTACAATTAGGTTATACATTATAAATGTTTAAATCAATGTAAAACTAAAGAATAAATATTCAACATTATTGTCTTTCTTAATGTTGAATTAATTTTTTATGTTAGAATTACTATTGATTTAGTTTTGAATTGAGTTTTATTAGAGTTACTGAAATTTTCGGACAATAACCTTTATTGGACCATTCAAAATTCTAAGTCTCAAAAAATTTGAAAAAAAAAGTTAAAAGATAGGACTTATGAAAAAATATAAGTAATATTTAGAAATTACATCAAAGTAATACTTTTATGTATAAAATAAAGAGATAAGGGTCTAAAAAATACCCCAACTTTGGTCGGATTTGCTGTTGCGATACTAAACTTTCATAAGGACCTATTACCTCCCTAGACTATTTAATACAATATTTTTTACCCCCTGAACTATTTAATAGTGTATTTTAAAGGTATATATGTGCCCACGTGGACACATTACTATTTATAATTTTGCATTATTATTTATGTCCACATGGGCAAATATATATGTTTAAAATACGGTATTAAATAGTCTAGGGAGGTAATAGATCTTCATAAAAGTTTAGTATCGCAACAGCAAATCCGACCAAAGTTGGGATATTTTTCAGACCCTTATCCCTAAAATAAACTTAAAAATTATATATATATATATATATATATATATATATAAAATGTCGGGTTTGTTTGGTCTCGGGTTGACTTTTTTTTAGTTAAAACCAAATCAACCCAAGTATGGTCGTTTTTTTTTTCCAATACCAAACCATCACTTGTTTTTTTTTCCTTTCAATTTGACTCGGTTTGTGGTTTGGTTCGATTTTCGATTTGATTTTGTACACCCCTACTTCTACTATGCCTTTATCACTATTTTGCTGTCATTAATACTATCGATTTCATATCTATTTGTATCGTTGGTTGAGTCACTACTAGATGGATGATACAATCAAATTACACCTCGCAATGAAGTATAAAACGATCTTCATTTAAATATAGAACTCAACAAGGTTGAGATCGAATATTACTTGTAGGTGTAACTGGAATGAATGATCTTTATTTTTAAAATTCTTGCAGAAAGTAAATACTCAAAATATGTGATTTGTTTTATGCTTAGAACTAAAAACTCAGCTAGTATCAATAGGAATATGAAACTAAGGTTGTGGACTCCTGTTCTGGGTTGTAACATTAATGTAGTTGCTTTCGTGAAACTTTAATTAAATAATCTTAAGGTAAAACAACTAACTTTTTTTAGGTACATCGTGAGTCCTTTTGGTCCATCTTGAAAATATCGCCCTAAGTCCTTGTGGCACTGAGATGTAGCATCAATGTAACTGTTAACTTAGATTTCAGGTAGATTATCACTGTCAGGTCTCAAATTCTTAGATGGAGGAGCATGTATACCAAACCTATGTAGTTAATACTGGTTGTACCTCACAACTCGTGGATTCCATTTTTCTTCTCGGATTACTGGATACTGTCGTTACCGTTTAACATCGTCTTGATGTTGAAGATTCTTCTGTAAAACTATGGAAGTAGTGTTTTAACAAAACTTCACAACAAAGGTGAATGCCCTAAAACAGAGAAACCATAATTGGTAATTGAGAGAGAGCAATTCACGAGATCTGGGTTTTGAGAAAATGATAAATCGCACCTTCTCCATTGACAGATACAAGTATTCATACACATGAACAAAACGTTGACAGCT